GCTTGATTCCAGTTATCATGAGTTGTGTGACTGCTCCGACTATGCATGTGCTGTGGAACGGGGTACCAGCAGAGGGTTTCAGACATCAAGGGGAATTCGCCAAGGAGACCCAATATCGCCATACCTTTTTGTATTATGCGTCGAAAGATTGGCACATGCTACCAGTGTGAAAGTCAGCTCAGGGGAGTGGAAACCTTTCAATTTTGGCAGAAACAAAGTGAAAGTGCCATATCTTTTAATCGCAGATAATATCTTCCTGTTTTTGGAGGCCTCAAGGGGACAGGTAGAGATGGTAGGCTCACTATTAGATAAATTTTGTACCTCTTGTGGACTGAAAGTAAGCTCAAGCAAAACTCGAGTTCACTTTTCAAAAAATGTCCACCACGCTAGGAGGAGAGAGCTGGCGGCAGGGCTGGGTTTTGTCGCAGTAGAAGACCTTGGGAAGTATCTTGGTATGCCATTGTTGCATGGAAGGGCTATCAAAAGCACCTATGCTTGGATAGGAGAGATTGCGAAAAACAGGATGAGTGGTTGGGCGGCATTAACGCTATCTTTGACCAGTAGAGCAACTTTGGCACAATCTGTGATCAGTGCCCTCCCTTTTTATCCCATGCAAACTACATCCCTCCCTAATTCTATGTTTGATGATATTGAAAAAATTACTCGAAAATTCTTGTGGGGAGGGAAACAGGACCAAAGGAAGCTCAGTCTGGTGGCATGGGATGAGGTTTGTCGAGGAAAATTGCAAGGTGGGTTAGGTCTCAAAAAACAAAGGATCATGAATGATTCCTTCCTGATGAAACTCGGTTAGGAGTTACTCACTGGAGGTCAGGCTCTGTGGGTAAGAGTTGTAAAGGCAAAGTACAAGTTGAACTTTGAAAATGGACCTGTTATATCACAAAGGGCCAATGTTTCCTCATGCTTCAGAGGGATAAGGAGAAATTGGCCCAAAGTGGTGGAAGAGATGAGCTGGGCTTTAGGTGATGGGACCAGAGTAAAGTTTTGGACTGATAAATGGATTGTAGGCCTGCCCTCACTTATATCCATTGCAGTTGGCCGAATTACACCGGAACCACAACTGAGGACGGTGAGCAGCTATGTCAACCTAGAAGGGCAGTGGAGTTGGGAGGAGTTCTAAGACCTACTTCCGGCAACGGCGGTCCTCAGAATAGCAGCGACGCTCCCCCCGAAATCGATGTTAGGTGCTGATACTATGCTTTGGGCCTTTGATTCACAAGGAAGCTTTACTGTCCGCTCTGCTAATTGTGCCTAGACTCGGGGACCAACCCCTTTGTCGGAGGTTGTATGGAGGTCGATTTGGACATGGCAAGGGCCACAAAGAGTGAAGACCTTACTTTGGCTACTGGTGAAGGGACGGCTACTCACGAATGTCGAGAGAGGGAGACGTCACTTAACAGAGGACATCTCCTGTGCTAGATGTCTAGATACAGAGGAGGAATTAATCCATGCTGTTAGAGATTGTCCACCGGTGCGGGAGGTATGGTTACAACTTGTCCCTGCTACACACCTTCCCAATTTTTTAATTGTGATCTGATTGCTTGGGTTATGAACAATGTGCAAAATGTTGAGAAAATTGGGGAGGGATGGCCTCTGACCTTTGGAATTTCTGTTTGGAAAGTATGGAACTGGAGAAATGAATATGTTCTTGAGAAAAGAGATCTCTATATCAACCAGAAAGTATGGGAGATCTTCAGGAAGGAGAAGGAAGTGAAGGACGCTCTAGCGTATGCTAAACGAATGGGGGCACCAACCCTCAACAAGGAGAGAAGAATGATCTCATGGAAACCCCCAACTGAAGGTTGTCTCAAAATTAATACGGATGCCGCGGTCGACTAGGCGACGGGCTTAGCAACTGCTGGAGGGGTCATTCGTGACTCGGTTAGGTGTTGGCACACTGGATTTCTGTTAAACATTGGCTATTGTTTTGTGATTGGAGCGGAGCTATGAGGACTCTTCCAGGGACTCTGCCTGGCTTGGGATAAAGGGTTCAGATGGCTGGAAGCCAAAGTAGACAACCTGAGTGTCCTCCACATGATTCTACAAGAAGACAAACCTCCGTGCGCGCATGAAGGTCTTGTACGAGCGATAAAGGAATTGTTGGACACGGATTAGGTGGTAGAAGTAAGTCATACTTATCGGGAAGCCAATTTTGTAGCAGACTTTTTGGCATATTTGGCAGGAACGAATCTAGGGGGTTTTCCCCGACTGGATTCGCCACTACCAGGAGCACTTTGGTGGCTAAATCATGATGTACTAGGGATCGCGTAACCTAGAGATGTAGTTGTGTAATCTAAATGATTAACACGTCCTTTTGAATAAAAAAAAAAGTTGTCACTTTGTTTCTTACGTACTTCACATCGATCGGCATAGCAATTGCTACATTATTTTGCATAGATTAATTCTTCTTTTATAATATCATGTTCTACATTTACATCGGGAACTCAAAAGTATATTGAACCATATGAAAATTTCAAACTTCTTTATTCATCGTTAATTCGTTTTGAGTTGAAAATTGAACTAGCACTATACTTGTGATTGTTTCTTCGTATTTTGGTTTTCTCAAATCTTCATATACTCTTATATTTTTTCAGTTAAAAAATAAGAAATATTTTAAAGGTTCAAGGTTGTAGTAAAATAGGCCACCGATATGCTAGGCCTATTTTATCATGAAATCTTCATATACTCTTATACTTTCTGGTTAAAAAATAAAAAATATTTTAACGGTTCAAGGCTGTTACAATAGGCCACGGATATGCTAGGCCTACTATATCATGAAATCTTCATATATTCTACATTAATTATGAAAGAATGGAGGAAAATTGTACACGTGCAGATTTTCATCACATCCTTTTTGTCATCACTTTTCTTTTAGACGCATCACACCGTGCAACCATTGAACACCTTTGCAAATTTATTTACTTTCGCTTTGTTTCTAATTTCATGAGTGAACCCATGTAGTAGATGGTTTTTTTTTTTTTTATGGACATTTCTTTTGCTTAATAAATATCGCATTACAAAACAATATCCTTTCATACATGCAAATATTAATTATCTTTTTTTTTCTTACACTCTTACGAAAGTAATTAATTACTATTAAAGACGGTAGACACCTTGCAAATATATAAATAAAGAAAAAACAAAACTGACGGTTCCATTAGATAGATCAAAGAATGCCCACTAATTTACTCATGCATTGAGCAATGAACTTATGACACTCACATGCATCCTAAAAATCGAAGAAATCAAAGCAAATGTGGGCTAGGATTAATAAAATGGGTCTTAATCCAAGTTTTTATTTGGGCCTTAACTATTCAGCCCATTTTAAAGAGTTTTTCGGATTCGTATTTAACAAACGAATGAGTTGCTGTTGCCCATAATGTTATAATGAATACTATGCAAAATGAAAATAGTTTACAAAATACTTTTTTTTATTATCAAAATGAGTAGTCCAATTTCATTAAAAAAAATAGTGCGGTTTAATAAAGTGAAAATTAACTTAATTTAAATAATTAAAATATTCTAATAATAACTAAATAGAGGTAACCAACTATTTTGAATTAGAAACAAACTAGATAAGAGCATAATTACAAATTTATGGATAATTACTAAATGTACCTTGATTGAGTGGAACAAAATAAATAAAAGATTGCAGTTTTTCAATGTCAATTTTTTTTTTGGAACTAAAATAATAGTGTATACCTGTGACTGTGACACTGAATAGAGTAATTAGTTTAATTACTCTAAGAAAGTGTAATTGATTTAATGATTATTTTTTGTAAAAGGGAAGCACATGTAAAGGCACTTGGGCCTTTGTCTCATTGGGGACATGTCGACCACTATACAAAATGGAAAATCACAGAGTCAGCCGAAAGCAAATCCCAAACCAAAAAAAAAAAGAAAATGAAAATTTTCAGCTAGAAATATTTTTTCGATAAAAAAAAAAGAAAAAAAAAAGAGAAGAAGAAAAAAAAGGCGGTGGAAGAAAATAGATTCAGAAAAAAGGGAAGGAATAAAAAACAAAAGCAATATTCTGATTTAAAGGAGCCGTTGAAATGAGCGCGGGTCATCACTCAGGTTTGACAGATTTTTTTCCCTACACCTTTTTCGATGTAAATTCAAGTTGTACAAAGTACCAACAACAGTAAAACAAATCAATTCAACTGCCTACTGACGCCATCTTAAATGCATTACAAGAGATTTTAACCCCCTAATAATTCAACTTTTTTTTTACCCTTTACTCCGTGTTATTCCTTCTGTCCCAAAATTATTATCCAATTTAAAATTTCACTTTTAATACAATTTGAATTAAAAATGAAAATTCAAATCGGACAATAATTATGGGACGAATGTAGTACTATATTTCCATCGGGTGCTAATTTTACGTGACAATGGTATTTGAAGGATAGAGCTATGAACATCATAGTTATTTAATTTATTTTGGTTAGTTTTAATGACTCGTTATAATATATGTTATTTTTCATTTCTCTTACTTAATTGTGTTATTTTCTTTATCACATAATGATTTTCTTGCTATTTTTAAAGTAAAAGAAGAACATAACAAAGTGACCCATGAAGTGGTAATAACATGGTAGGTCATTTTTTTTAATAAAATAAATAAATATATATATCTATGTTTTTTGAAAAAGAAATAAGCTTCTAAATTTTTTCTTTATTTTTGGTTAAAAAAACACACACCACAATTTCAAAAATTTAGCATCTTTTCGTAATTACTGATATCAGTATATTTCAACAATTTCAAACTGTTGTAAAGATTAAAAAAATTGAAACTGAAATTGAAAAAAAATTAAATAAAATAAAAGGAATGTCGAATGTTTTTCTTTCCCGAATCAGTGTTTAATTTATAATTTAACTCAAAATATAGTACGTATTAAAAAATAAAGCATATAAAATTAGAGAGAAAGTTACTAATTGAATAAGAACGAATGTACTAATTTTCAGATCAGGAATTGCACAGACATCGATGCATGGTTCCTCATCAGTGAGAATCAACAGACAAACAGTGCCCAGATTCCCCTCTGTCTCTGTCTCTCTCTCTCTCTCTCTCTCTCTCAAACCTAATAGTAATTTCTTTCTCCTCATTTTCTTCGCATTACCCGAAACAGTAAAACACCTCTCTGTAACCCAACCAACTTCTGTTTTTCATTGAGACCCTCAAAAAGTTGCATACCACTGTTCATAAAATGCATGATATAGTCATTAAAAATAAATTTGTGCTTTTTAATTAGTTATATTTTTATGCTTCAAATCAAATTCTTTTTTTCCCACATTTCTGTCAGCCCATTTTCACGGCATTTCTTCGTTTGTAGAAAAACAGAGCTTTGTATGACTGTATCTATGGTCGATTGAGCGGCTTGAACCCAGTGTGAAACAGAAACCCCCCCAAAAAGCTAGAAACTTAGGTTTAAAGTCATTTTTCCAGGTGGGTTTTTTTTTCTTCTTCTTTTTTTTTTTCTCCCTTCATCAAAAGGAAAGTGGACTCAAGTGGGTTTTTATAGTGTGCTCCTTTTGTGGTTGTTTTGCATTTGCTCTCTCTTTGGATTTCCAAGTTGAGATTTTGAGGGAAGTGGCTGGCTTTTTAAGGTTTTGATTCTGGGTCCAGCTAAATTTTCATTGCCTTTGGCAGTATTTCGTTTCTGGCATTTAGGTTAATTTCAGAGAAGTGTTGTTAGTTTGTTAATCCAAGCCAAATTGCCTGTATGATTCTGTCTAAAGAGGGATTTTAGTTTCCCCAAAGACTTTACCTTTTCTTGTCTGTTTAGGGAAAGTGGAAATTTTTGTTGGTTACTTTTCATGAACTTGTATGCTTGAATTGGTGTGAAGAAAAAAATGGGGATAGTAAACTCAAAAGGGGAGAAGACTGAAGCATTAAGGCTCTGCAAAGAAAGGAAAAGATTCATTAAACAAGCTATTGATTCCAGATATGCTTTAGCTGCTGCTCATGTTGCCTATGTTGAATCTTTGAAAAACATTGGCATTGCTCTTAGGAGGTATGCCGAGGCTGAATTCCTCATTGAATCTTCTCTGTCTGCTTCAGCCGCTGAACTTGACAAAACCCCATCACATTTTTCATATCCATCCCCCTCCCCATCTCATGTTGGTGGCGTTTCAGACTCCCCTGTTCTGAATGGGAGCCCCCTTTCGCCTCCCGCCGCCAGGATGAGTTACATGATGTCTGGTGGAACTAGTGCTGTGACTGTTAGGATGAGTCCAACTTTGCCTAGGAACATGTATCTGAATGACAGTGATTTTTCAAGACCATTACCACCTCCACCCCCACCTCCTGATGTAGGATCTCATTGGGATTTCTTTGACCCTGGTGATGATTCTGAGAGCTTCAGGTTTGTGGGAAGCACCAGTTTCCCTCAGGATTTAGAATCTGTGAACATGAATGGGAAACAGAGTGAAAGGGTTGATGATTTCGATGCCATTAATGCTAGTGATGAAGTGGTTGTGACGCCGAAATCAGACTCACGAAACAATTCAAAATTGGTTGTGTACAATGGGAATCAGCCTACACCTCAAAGAAGTCAGAGTGATGGCCAGGCAGCAGTTAAAATTGTGAATAGCGGCTCTGTTGGAACATTAACAGGCAAAGCAGGCTTAGAGCCGGGTTCCAGGATGGATAAGTCTGCGGTGGACAAGGATGTGTGTGCTGAAAGAGAGGATCCTTCAGAGTTTATAACTCATAGGGCTAAAGATTTTCTTTCTAGCATAAAGGACATTGAGCACCGGTTCTTCCGAGCGTCTGAATCAGGAAAGGAAGTTTCCAGGATGCTTGAGGCAAATAAAATCCATGTCGGGTATGCGGATGCTACAGGTAACTAATATCCTGGCTTGTTGCTAACCTATTACGGTTATTACACCCTAATGTTTACTGCATCCTCTTCTGTAGCTATGTTTGGTGTATTTATATCTCTGATCCAAGTACTAATCTGAAAGCTTTCTTCTAGGTAAATCGCCTATTGGAATTTATTTGGCTTCTCTCAAATTAGCTTTCTGCAGTGGTAAAAGTTCAAACGTAACTGATGGTGAGTTATTTTCTTTCTTTTATCTATTTATGTGAGAGGCTGTTGACATGAATACTCTTATGAATTCCCAATTCCGATTCTCCCATTTGAATGATTAGGTTTATGATAGAAGATTGATATATGAGTATCTCTGATTTGGAGAAACTCTTCTGTATGTTCAGTGTTATATTTTTGGTATTCCTGCTAGCATTACCTATCAATATTTTCTCATGGGAATAATCATACCGATATCACTTTGAAGTTTGGTAAACAGTTGTAGCTCTAAGTCAAATTCAATGTCCCCTTAATCATATTGAAATTGTGAGACTTGCATTTTACGTTGGAGCATTTTTTGCAAGAATCAGAATGAGTTAATATTTATATGTTCTGAAGACTGACCAGACACCCTTCTAGAAAGTTAGAGACAGGGATGTACATCTAACTTAGCCAACCGACTAGCCTTTTAGTTTATCAGTCTGATTGGTTGTTACTACTCACACAGATCCTGAACAAACTGCAACGAAGGTTATTACATGGAAGCGGACAACATCATCAAGGTCCTCCTCTTCGAGGAATCCTCTAACTTCAGGATCCAAGGATGACAATGATGATAGTGGGAGTGAATTCATGGAAGAGTTCTGCATGATTTCTGGAAGCCATTCCTCTACCTTGGACAGACTTTATGCTTGGGAGAGGAAGTTGTATGACGAAGTGAAGGTACCTGTTTGATCGCTCTCTTGAGTATGTTATCCTCAGAAGTCCTTGTATCTTGCAATGCCTTTTCCAATTACAAATTTCGTACATGCATTCAATAGTTTGTGATACTTCTGTTCAGTTTTGAAAAATGTAGTAGTCTATTTATACAGTGTACTGTAGATTAAGAAATTTTCTTGTGTCATCATCTTTAGTCTTGCTTTTGCTAATTGAAGTTCAAAATAGCTTAAATTAGTCTATACGAATGGATTAACTTCATTACATCAGTTATTTCGTGAAGGGTCATTACAGTTTATTGGATTCTATCCCACAATTTCTGGTATTGTAGTTTGAGTCCCCATATAATTACATATATGGTTAGTCAGTGTTATACATCAACATTGTCAATGTGGATCCTTGAGGATTTTGTTCTTTTAACTGTCATTGGATTGGCAAATCCCTTGGCAGAGAATTATGTCTTCCCCTAGTGATTGACAGGCTCTGGAAACAGGTTGGGCAGATATGTCCATGTGTATTTGTGGTATTATCCAATACTGCATTCTAAGAAAGCCCTATCAAGTGCAAAGAAATGCTTGCGATGGCCTGTTTAGTGTTAGATTTTGTAGTAATGTTATCCTTTCACATTGATCTCTAACATCTGTATGGCCGGCCATTGTTTAATATGTTTTGCAAGAAGACACAGGCAATTATAGAACCATCATCATTGGTTTCAACTACATGTCTCTAATGTTTTGTCCCTGTCCCACCTTTATATAATAAGTGGTTTGTCTCCCAGGAAATTCTCGTGCTTTGAAAACTTGTCATCTCTAATCACTGTGTCCCTCCCCTTATGGCTATTTCATCCTGTGATTGTCTATGTGCACTATGTGAAGTTGACTGAAGTTTCGCTTGCTTTGTAATTGTTTCAGTAGATACTGCATGCTTATTTAGAAATCATCATCATGCCAAGGCATTCTATAACTATGGTATAGTAATCTCATTTGATTCTGATATTGTGTATCTAGGCTAGTGAATCGATTCGGAAGGTTTATGACAGCAAGTGCAACCAGCTTAGGCACCAATTTGCCAAGGATCTTAGTGCCCAAGTAATTGATAAAACCAGGGCTGTGGTCAAAGATCTGCATTCACGGATTACGGTTGCGCTTCATTCTGTTGATTCAATTTCGAAGCGGGTTGAGAGAATGAGGGATGACGAATTGTTGCCACAAATTCTAGAACTTATTCAGGGGTGAGATACTTTTTCCAAATTTTCTAGATCTGTAGAAGCTTTGAACATCGTAAATTATCTGATCTTTAATTCCTTAATGGAGAAGTATATACTTAGTCAAATTTTCTCTCTGTTGATTGTCTGGTTGATGACTATTTCAGACTGATAAGGATGTGGAAAGTTATGCTTGAATGCCATCACACACAGTATATAACTATCTCATTGGCATACCATTCGAAAACCTCGGCAGGGACTCCTCAAGGGGACGCACAGAAGCAAATTAAATTGCAACTGCAGGAGGAAGTAGAATGTTTTGGCTTGAGTTTTGCCGATTGGATCAACAGTTTCACATCATATGTGGAAGCTCTAAACAGTTGGCTACAGAACTGCATTTTACAACCACAAGAACGAACCAAGAGCAGGCGAGTGTTCTCTCCTCGTCGAGTTTTGGCACCTCCAATATTTGTTCTCTGTCGTGACTTGTGTGCTGGTATGAAGTCTTTGCCATCAGAAGAACTCAGTGACGCAATCAGAATCCTCTTATCTGATCTTCGCAATTCAATTGAAAGTCAGCCTGAGGAGCTAGAAAAGAAAGAAGCAACGCCTGAACCTGGCAACATTGAAGAATCAGAGAGCAACAACAATGATGAGAAGAATGCCGACAGACCTCCCAATTTGAACAGCTTACAAACAAGCTTGACCAAGGTTTTCGACAGGCTAACAAAGTTTTCCGAGTCTTCAGTGAAGATGTATGAAGATGTTAAGCAGAAATGTGACACGGCTCGAAATGCATATTTAAATTATAGGCCACCACCAAGATCATATACCATATGAAGTGCATCCGTGTAGGATCTTGTATAATTCCCAGATTGATCTCATATATCCTTCTTTATGTATCCCTTCCAGTCATTAACAGAAGCGGGTAGAATCTACTGTTTAGATAGCTTAAATAGAAGAAGCTGTCATTTACTTTCCAAGCTGATTGATAAATATTATTAGTTGGAAGAAAATTTTGATCATTTTGAGGAGCCACAATGGTACCAAGTATTGATAGCCTCTGGTTGTGTCTCAGTATTTGTGTACTTCTCGTATTCCATCTGTGAACACATACAATAGTGCCATTGCACACCGGGACACAATTCATACAAATTAAGTCGGGATCAAAATGCGAAGTCGAGTCAGGGAACCATTTTGAATGATATGTCTAAGCAAACACTAGAATGGCAGTAAACGATAAATGATTAGAGACAGCAATCTGTATGAAGTTACTGATGTAATAACTTTGTTTATTTTTACAGCGGGTCAGGTTCCTGACTGTTTAGACAAATCTTTCATGTTTCAAGGTGTAAAGAATGATTAACCATCAAGAATCAGCGGCAATCACTACATACAGAGGAGTGTGAATGCAAGCAACATTAGCTATTCATTGATGTTCTTCAAAATGAAAGCGACAATAAGGAAATCTGCTTCTTTCACTCCAGCCCAGAATAAAACACAGGGAAGGATGAATATGAAGTGCCTTCAAGGCTAGAAACCAACAAGCTGTGTGTACTGCGAATAAGCTTCATCTGCAGTTTGCAGTCCAATGGGAGCACGAATAACAAAATCTGGAAGATCAAATGCATCGACAAGTTCCTTTGCAATATTCCGAACTTGAAAACTCAAGTATACTGTCAACTTGTGAATGGCCTGAACAGTGTAAATAAATTTAACATCATCAGAAAATGTGGAGCTTACACAATGAAAATCTGAACACAGAAACTGCAATACAAGCCGATTGTAACTACTCAACAAGAGGGACATCACAGAAGTACAAGCTGTTTGATTAGAAAAATCAAGTTGTTCGAGATAGCAGTGCTTAAACGCGGAGAATACCTTAGCTTTGTTCGGTGCCACATAGTCCACATTGCGGTAAGTTCCTATATCATTCCAGATTCTATCCAAAGCATAAAGATCACAGACAAGCTTCAGAGCATTTCGAGAACCTTCATCTGGACAGCTGGAACAAAAAGCAGAGAAAGTCAATTCCACGCACAAGGAAGTAAACTGGAATTTCAGCATTAGAGCTTGGCAATGTAGATACCTTTTTACAGCTTCAATGAATCTTTCTAGAATGACAGATTCAATATGAGATTCGGCAAGAGTTAAAAGGTGATTCAAGCATCTATTCCAAGCTCCAAAACCACCTAGATTTTTAGAGTGCTTCTGAAGCCGGGCAGCAACACTTTGTAACAAGCGAGATGTACGATACTGCATCGATAAAATTAAGTATACCGCATGTTATAAACGCTTAAACAAAAAGCATTAATTTCTAGTTTAGAGCTATATCGAACTCACCCTAAATGCATCCAACTGGAAGTTTGGATCTCTCAGGTGGTCTTCACCTTCCCACCTGGATGTTACTGGATTAGGTTGAGCAAGATATGTGTTCATGGATTCTTTCAAGTAATTCCATGTAACAGCAAGTGATCCACCTTGAAACTTTTCCTTATACTGCTTCAATAGATCAATCGCTACCTGATAAAAAAGAAAAACTGAATAAGAACAATTCAAAATACTACGAGCATGGAAGAGAAAATCAAGCGGCATTAAAAGTAACAGTAATTACATGCGCCAGATTGTCATAATGAAGAATAGTGGTTATAAATTATTTTTCACAAGATCCAAACACATTCCTAATACATGGAGTATATCACAATAAGTTATTCTTATAGAGCATTGAGAAAAGGATAGATATACAGACAAACCTGCTGAAGTAGCACTGTATTATCCCCTTCAAAGGTCTGAAATATGTCATGATCATTCCTTAAACTACCAAACCGATTGACAGCAGCATAACCATGGCCCCCACAAGATTCTCTACATATGCTTAATGACTTTGCGGTATAAGAGGTAACATAGGCCTTGAGTCCTGCTGATAGAGCATGCACATCCCCGACCAAATCTTCATCATGTGTTTTCTTCATCTCAGCATACTTATCTACCAAATGAAGTGTGGCAAAATGAAACGCATAAGTCGAAGCTAACATTGGCATAAGCTTGTGTTGATGAGACTGGTAATCGATGATGCTTATCTCAGGCTGCTTAGGGGGACCGAACTGCTGACGCAGTAAAGAATATCTTATAGCAATTGTAGTAGCAATCTTGAGAACTCCATTGGAAGAATATGCAAGGCCAACTCTTCCACCCACAAGTTCACCTAAGGTGGCTCCAAACCTTTTACTGATAGTAGGCAGGCTACTTGTGTACTTTCCATCTCTTGAAACATCCCCAAAGCGATTAAGAAGATTTTCCCGGGGAATCCTCACTGAACGGAATCTAAGAGCTCCATTGTCTACTCCATTTAGGCCAACTTTATGGCCACAATCATTTATCTCAACCCCAGGTAGTGTTTCGTGGGTCATTAGATCTCTTATTGGAACGATGAACGCATGGACTCCCATATCAGAAACACCTTTTGCATCATGAGTTGGCAACATTAGCTTTGCAAACACTGAGGCAAATTTCCCATGGACTGCAGCATTCCCAATCCACCACTTTATCGCACCATCATTTGGTGTGTCAATAACAAATTCATCTGTCACCGGATCAAATGTAGCAACTGTCTGAATGCCCTGGACATTTGAGCCTAGCAAGCAAAACCAGTTAGAGACATCAGTCCAAAAGTTGGACATAATAAATGAAGAAAAGTAACTAATAATACGGCCATGGGATTAAAACCTAGGATGATAAATAAGATATTATCCTCCAATGATAATGCTCATTACTGTGTCAATTCACTTAATAATGAGCAGAAAAAATAATCATTACAACACCATTTCCATTCTATAAGCTTGTCAGAAAAAGGAACACCTCTTTTACTAGTTTACAAGGTATAAATCTGACATATACAGGGAATCTCCAGATGAAAGGTTTTCTTTTTAATCACATGCATGCAATAGTTGAAACTAACCAAAAAAAGAGCTAAGAGAATGCTTTTTTTCCTAAAAACAAAATATAACATTCAATCGTAGTTAGTCTCAGGTATGAAAGAAGCTTAGCACAATTAAATTAATCAAGAGGAATAGCATACCATGATGGAGCTCCGTCATAGCAAAACACCCCGTGTACTCCATGTTGTCTATACGATCGAAGTACTTATCCCAATGCTTTTTGGTTCCCAAGTTGAGCACAGACCCACCCCAGAGACTGCAAAGTTTCATCATTAATTTTCATAAGATTTGGGGATTAAGATGCTGCGCGAACAGGATATCAAAGGAATAACAATCAACGTTTACGATAAAATAACTGCAAACTAATGAATTACTATGAGTAATGAAAGAAATGAAACATCAAAGGCATTATCTTCAAAAACAAATCCTCTCGAAGTTTCATTTTGATCACATTGTATTTCCTTCTGAATAAAACCAAGTATGCCCATTATTTTGACTTATGAATCCACTAGCAAGACCATACAAAGAGAACAGTTTCTATCATAGTTCATTCAGTTAAATTACTGTTGACTGCAAATGGTCCAGTAACTCAATATTTTTTTATGTGATTTCAAACTGATGAAAAACAATGATATTATAACTCAACAAGGGCCTTTCTACTAAACTAAACCAAGAGACAATTAAACCAATCAAATATCGGACTACTTATAAAATATGAAAAGCTTGCCCTTTGTCTCCATTACCAAACATCATAAATATCTTGTGTACTTCCATGGGAAACCAAGTAGAGTTATATGGACCAGAAAACCATATGAGAACGTACTCCACTCTAGGATATTTTGCATACAAAAGTATACAGACACACACTTGAACTCTTTGTACAATAAAAACATAATGAGAATGGTACTCAGATTGTCTCCATCAATCAAGAATTTATAACAGAAACTTGCCCTTCCAAAAATGTAAGACTCCTGCTTTGACGTAGATCCCTAAACTCAACTTAGGCATATTTTAACCAAAATTGAACTCAAACACTGAAACAATCCGTGAACTCATTTCACACTACCTCCCAGATGAAAATAGAGATTATATAAGTGGACCATACCACCCCTAAAAACTGGGACAAAGCATTCAACAGAGGCAATTGTAGCCAAATTTCCCTCCAAACCGGATTGCGTCCTTTTGCACCACAACAAACAACACTTCCAAATTATTATGTCCGGAACTTTTAACGTAAATTCCTCATGCCGATGCTATTCTTTTCTCCGAAAAAGGATGTCTTCTCATTACTACTAACAAACAAAATTATGTTGCGAAGCAAGCATAGTATTCCCTAGTAGAAAAATTCTTTATTTCTGATTCACCACATATTTGATATTTGTTTTATATCCACATCTCTACTTCAAAAACATCCAAAAAAAAAATCAACTTTTTCAAAGGGATCTCCCAATAGAATCTACTCTGGCCATAATAAAGCGTCAACCAATTAAATTTCAATCACGCTAAAAAAAACTAAAATATCAAACCCAAAAACAAAAATTTACCAAATGGACAAAAAAAATTTACCTGTACTGTACCCCCATCTTGATGCCAAGGGACATATCAACACTGCCAACGGCCTCCGCAATAGCAAAATACTTAGACGGATCTTCAACCACGTATTTAAAGGGTCTTATATTAGCCTCTCTAACAAGCCCAACAAGCTGCCTATAACACAGCTCCCTATGCTCATCTTTCGAAATCTCAATCGGGGTTTGAAGTTCCGGCCTTGACTTGAAATAATCAAACACTTTCTGCTGTACATCCCTGTGCCTCCCTCTCATTATCCTCGACAACTCGTCCTTATTAACTGCGATTTTCTTCGCCTTCCCGGCGCAATTCAGCAGCTGAATTTCCGATCCCGGGTCGGCCCGGTTGGAAACTGGGCCTAATGGGCTGAGATGAAAAGACAGCCGTTCAATTCGCCGGAGAGTCGTAGCAGGAATGATGGGTGATTCTTCTTCTTGCTGTTTTCCATGATCATGATCGGCCCTTTTTGCCATTTTTAATGATTCGGAAGAAGGGAATGGGAAATTTTGATGGTAAAAATTGAATCTTTGAGAGAAAAATTGGAAATGATGAAGAGAAGAGAAAAGTGGAATGGAATGGAAGTCTACACGGAAGTGGAAAGCGATCTGGTGTCGCCGTCAGGGGCAGGGAACACGTGGATATGGGCAATTGGATAGGGAGTTGGTAGTTTACTTATTTTGGCGCGCCTTTCAACGTCGGTGATATTTTTGGATAGGGAAGACTGCGTGTTCCTTTGCTTATCTTTTTTTTTGGAGTAATATATATCTTCTTGCACTTTTTGGCTTTTCTTTAGGAAGTATGGAGATTTATGAATATGTTCAATGCTTGGAATTTCCGGTGTTTGATAACTAGTTTGGGGGATTTTGCACTTGTTAGTTTTGATTGGTGTTTTGTTTTTGGATATTGCTATGTGAAAAACCATTAAAAATGACGATTAGGTAAAAAACTATTGTTACTAAAAAACAAAGCAATTAAATTTTTGAAGTGAACTTTGATGTCATTCGGGTGAAGTCCTCATCTAAAAGTTCTTGAGATTTAAAATTGTTGTGTATTATTGGTAACTTTTTGACAAATAAAACTCTTGTCTTTGTACACAGTACGTTGAATTTCTTTAATAAGAATTTGACTAAGGAGAAGCGTCATAAATTGATATAGTTCTTAAGTGGTCTGAATGATTCATATGGTAATATAAGAGATCAAATACTAGTCATGGATTCATTACCAGATGTAAAGAAAGCATACTCAATGGTTATCACCGTGGAGAAGCAGCAAAATGTGCAAAAGTTGTAAGTGGAACATGTGGATCAAAGTGCAATGTTGGTACAAAAGAGGAGTTCTGGCATTATGCAACAAGTCACATGGAATTATTATGGAAATAGGAATCAGAATAGTGGAGGCTCTGGTAATGCAAACTACGGAAGCTGGCATTTTGACAAGGGAGTTTATGGAATAGGAAAGGAAACTTCATTAAGACTGGATAAGATTTTGAAATGACTATAAAAATGTGATCACTGTGGAGCAATAGGTCATCTGAAAGAAGGGTGCTTCAAATTGATTGGATATTTAGAATGGTGAGAAGGCAACAAGGAAAGAAAACAGGCCTTAGGACCAAGGAATTCGGCAAATCTTACTGAGACTCCAATAGAGTTTGGAGCAAAAGTTCAACCTAGTACTGAGAACATTTTGAACATGATGAAGATGATGCAACAAGAGATGTCAAAACTGATCAAAGGCAAGACTGTGGCACCAGAAGGAGATCACATCAACCTTGCACACTATTATGATTTATTAGTTTTGAGTACTTGTAATGCCTTAAGTGCTCTAAATTTGACTGACTATGACCTTGCATTACTTTTGTACTTAGACATTGGTGTTGTAGGACATATGGAAGCATTCTTAAAACTCTTATATCAATGTAGGAAAGTGACGAAACATACTCGTGTGACATTACCAGATCGTAGTCGAAACATACTCGTGTGACATTACCAGATCGTAGTATCAAACAAGTAGATTATATAGGAACTGTAAAACTTTCAGAAAAATCAAAAGTGTCAGAATGTTTGCACATTCCTTCCTTCAAACATAATCTACTTTCACTCAATGAGTTAGCAGTGTCTTCCAAAATTGATTGCTTCTTTTCCACCAACTTCTATCAGCACCTGGTGACTAGGAGATTGGTTGCTGTAGAAAAGGTCCTTAACAGACCCTAATTACTAGATGCTTCTTCCTTTTCAGACACTGTTATCAACAAGTTCATACAAACACATCTCAACCATCTTTTTCTCATTCGACTTCATACCAGGCCAGTTCATCAGTCATACTTAGCTGCTGAGAGTACTTCTATATCATGGCATCAAAGATTGAGCCATGTGTCAAATAAGGTACTTAGTAGGCTAGGTTTTCTTTCAGCTCAAACAGACAATAATGTCATTTGTAATGTATGTCCTCTTTCAAAACAACAGAGGTTACAATTTCCAATTAGTTCAATACAAACTGCAACCATATTTGATATGCTATATATAGATCTCTGGGGGCATACAAAATTAAATCTTTGAATGGAGAGTTTTATTTTCTGACCATAGTAGATGATTATAGTAGAACAACTTGGAATTTTCTGATGAATGTCAAATCACAAACCACTTCTATTCTCAGAAATTTTATCAGATTTGTTTATACTCAATTTGAGAAGCATGTTAAAACCATCAGGTCTAACAATGGTTCAAAGTTCACTTCTCTTGAAACCCAAGCCTTATTTTTAGAACATCGAATTTTGCATCAAAGGTCATGTATTCACACACCACGACAGAATGGAGTGGTTGAGAGAAAACACAAACATTTGTTGGTAATAGCTACATCCTTACTCTTTCAATCCAATTTGCCAAAAAGTTTTTGGGGAATGCAATTCTTACAGCCACATATCTCATCAATAGACTATTATCCTCATTGTTAAACTAGAGAACTCTATAGGAGTTACTCTATTCCAAGCCACCAGAGTATTCACATTTAAAGATTTTTAGTTGTTTATGTTATGCACCTAACACCAGCCCTCATAAAGACAAATTTGCTCCTAGCACAATCAAATCAGTGTTCATAGGATATCCAGTTGGACAGAAACCCTACAAAACTGTATGACTTAGAACAAAAACGAATGTTTGCTTCCAGAGATGTCATATTCCATGGAAATGTCTTTCCTTTCAGTAAGTTATCTTCAGATACTACCATTGAAATGTTTTTCAATATTCCCATTAATCCTTGTAATGACACAGAGTGGTACCTTGATCCTATAGCCACTCCTTCCATCACAAATTCTTCTTCTGTTGAACTACCACAACATCTCCATACTAATCCTGCACTTATTCAACCAGTTACACATGAATCATATGCTTCTCATACTTCCAATTCCTTTCCTGTCCCACCACCAGTCAGAAGATCCACTAGAGTTTCCAAACTTCCAACTTGTTTACTAGATTTTGATTTAGGAAAAGCAAATATAGCAGCTCAAGTAGCTGTTTTTCAACATGAACCTCTTTCTTTTTCCCCTCATACCCCAAACACATTTCCATACCATGTTTCTTCTTGTTTTTCACCCAGTTATATATCTTTCTTAGCATAAATCAGTGTCATCAAAGAACCAAGATGCTAATCTCAAGCCATGTCAAATCTTGAATGAATTGCAACCGAGATAGAGGCATTAGAAAGCAACCAAACTTGGAGTCTTAAGATTATTTTGCCACCAGAAAAGACTGCAATTGGCAATAAGTGGATTTATAAAGTAAAATACAAGTTAGATGGCACAAGGGAAAGATAAAAGGCAAGGTTAGTAGCTAAAGTATACAACCAAGTAGAAGGGGAGGACTTACTTTGTTTGTTTTTCTCCTGTGGCAAAAGTGGTTACTATCAGAATCTTCTTGGCAGTTGTTACAACAAATAATTGAGGAATTTATCAAATGGATATTAATAATGCCTTTTTACATGGATATTTAGATGAATAGGTTTATATTCTACCTTCGGAAGTAATATAACAAGGCACTACCTGGTCAAGTTTTTAAGTTGAATAGATTTTTGTATGGCTTAAAATAGGTTTCAAGACAGTGGAACATGGAGTTGACTACTCAAATTCAGTCATTTAAGTTCAGGCAATCAGCCAATGATCCTTGTTTATGTGGATGATATTCTTATAACAGGTTCAAGTCCAACTACTATAGAGAACGAAAAGACGTTTTTGGATAATAAGTTCACAATCAAGGATTTGGGTCATGCAAAATACTTCCAAGGCATTGAATTGGCCAGATCGCCTGAGGGCATGTATCTGAACCAAAGGAAGTATATTTTGGATATTCTTCAAGACACAAGCCTTCTTGGATGTAAAACTACCAGCACACCATTATCGAAGGGCCACCAATTCACTGATTCACCAGGAGCACCACTTATAGATTATTTTCAATACAGAAAACTGGTTGGTCAGTTGCTCTACCTTCACTTCGTCAGGCCTGACATCTCCTTTGCAGTTCAGTGGTTAAGTCAACACGTGCATCAACCTTGTGAAGAACATTGGATGGCATTGATCTATGTGTTGAAATATCTAAGGGGACTGTCTCTCATGATTTGTTTTATCCTTCTGACAATACTTTTCAGCTGGAGGTTTACAGTGGTGCAGATTGAGGGTCAAACCCTAATCACAGAAGATCAGTCTCAGGCTACTGTGTTTTCCGGCGGGGGGGGGGGGGGGATCTCTTATATCCTGGAAAGCAAAATAGCAGGCCACCGTCTCTTGTTCCTCAACAGAAGCTAAGTACATGAGTTTAAGCTTCACTTCCAGTGACTTACTGTTGATTAGCTATTTGCTTGTAGTTTTGGGGTTTTCTTGCAACTTCCAGTTCCTCTCTGGTGTGACAACTCCTCCGCCATCTACATTACTAAAAATCCAGTCTTTCACGAGCCCACCAAGCACCTGGAAATTGTCAGTCATTTTGTGAGATGCCATTATAACCAAGGTTTCCTTGTGCCACTTTATGTTCCCTCCAAAGATCAGATTGCTGACATAGTCACTAAGCCTCTCCCTCATCCTCAGTTTGCTGCTTTGTTGGAGAACTTTGGATTGAAGAATTTTCTTCAATGTCCAGCTTGCAGGAGGCTGTAGATATTGTATATAGTTGTACATAATTCATGTAAATAAGGACGAAAGTGAATAATTGTACAGACTAGTAGGGACCAATGTTGATAATAGGGATGTACAAGGACTTAGATGTAGCGGTCAAATATGTTGACCAATCATTTGTAATAAATACCAGATCAATGTCGTGATTGTATTTAAGAAACAATAATCAGATTAAAATATATATCTTCTTCTCTAAGTTTCTCTGTAATGCCAACTCAGTTCATTATCAAATTTCTTTCGATCAACCAATCCAGACCTTAAGAGAAATTGGCAGCATTCCATTCGAGATTGGAAGGAGTAAGAACTAAGAACAATAGGCGGAGTGTAGTTTTTCCACCACTGACTCATTGAGGATGATTTCGTAAACAAATAAGGAGGAGAAATTATAAATAGAAAGTCAAGCACAAAAATGAAAAGACAGATTAAAATATAACCAGATGTTTCATAATCTTAGTGTTGAATACTAATTCTCTTTATGTGATACGAGTAGTGGGATGTAAATTAGATAGAGAAATCTAATCATGGAGTGCTGCATCAAGAAATAGTCAATTATTAAGCTTAGTACAATGTAGCACCGTTAGTTGATACATTACTATCATTAATTGAGTTTTTTTGCTATTATACTTAGTGCAACTCTATTGGTAAATTCATAAGCTCGTAACGTAACCCCACAAATTATTAAAAGATAATAAACTAAAACATATTTTAATATTTGTCATTTTTTTTTCAAAGTACCTTTTAGCATGCGTACCCTATTGTTTGTGTATGAATATAAATTTTGCTTTAGAAAACGGAAGAGTATGATAATTTTCTTCTTGTAAACTACTAATAAAAGGTCTCAACTATATTGATAAATGAACTACTGGGTACTCTCTTAGATTGATTGAGGTGGTGGATATATATATATATATATATATATATTGTGGATATATATATATATATATTAAATCCACCTCAATTGACCCTACTTAAATACTTAAATGTGGGAAGTTACTTATGGCGCATGCTCACCAACTCACTGGCTACAAAAATATATCTAATGCATCGGAGAATGGATACCATATAACCCCCCTGGCTGCCAAAAATGTGGTGATTGTGAAGACTGAAAACCATGTCTTCTTCTACTGTAAGACTGCTAGATAAGTTTGGCAGCTAACGGATCTCGCCTTTGAAGTGTATAAAACGGCTCATGGAGACGCTGCCATCAAATTGGTTAACCTGCTGAAATCATTGCCAACACCCAAATTGAGCCGTTTTGCTTACATTTGTTACATCCTGTGGCACACGATAAATACACTTATCTTCGAGAATCACGAATTCATGGCAAAAACAATTCAAAAAGATGAGCGAATCACTCCTTGAATCCTGGAACAACGCTTAATTACACCATTTCCTCACCCCTCGAATAAAGGAGAAGCCTGAAAATTCCCTCGCCTTCATGTACGGCACATGCATATTTTTTGACGGAGCCCTGAATCCAAACTTGAAGCTCTCGACATCTGGAATCTTGATATGGAATTGTGCTACTGGTTTCGTTGGTTGCTACGCAAAAAGCTACGGAGGCCTCTTTACCCCAAAGGTGATCGAAGCCCTAACAACAAGGGAAGCAGTAGGGTTAGCAACCGCAATAGGAATCAGGCAATTTACTCTGATTGAGGACTCATCATCAATAATTCACAGTTTGAACTGTGAGGATGTGGATTCCTCAAACTACAGGGTCTTAATTGATGATATTAATGTCCATTTCCAGAACCATGTAGACTTTAATTCCAAGTCGATCAACAGAAGGTTTAATGTATTCTCCCATGCCCTGGTTCAATTTGCAAAATCCAAAAAGGATTTTGAGAAATATTGGGATTCTATTTCCGAATTTGTACCTCTTTTCGTGTTGGGCGACTTCCCAGAAATTTAATGAAATTCAGTTCTTCTTCTTCTTCTTCAAAAATAAAAAAAAAAGGAAAAAATCCTCTTTACAATTTGTATACCTTGAACGGAAACAGGAGTCTTTAGAAAATCTACTAAGAGTCTTACCACTAAAACCAAGATCTTATTCTTGAGGTGCTGGATCTAAAAACAGGGAACCAGAACCGTATAAAACTGTGATGAGAATGGTAGTATGTGTATGCATGAATGTTAGATTCTTCCCGGATTAAATTATATTATTTTTTACTAAAAAAAAAATTATGTTATCTTGTCCAATATTGAATTAGTGCGTTTAATAGGGGTGGACTTTGATTCACAGAGATGCGGGAAGAAGCGAAAAGAGACTCTGATGTACTCTTTACATATTTTCTCACTTCAAATACCATATAGTTATGATGATATTTAGAAACTTGTTAATTTAAGTTAATTTACATGCCAATTCTTCTTATGCCGCGTTCAACAAAGTTCAAGATGAATTTTGGTTTCATATCTTATCATTATTGTAAGCATTTTCTCACTCTCTCTGTATAAGTTTCATAATTGCTCTAGACTTGAGCGGAATTTCCATTAATTAAGTTTAAAAAAATCACATGGATTTTTGATATTTAGTAATGTGCTAGCAAAGTGTGGGGGGAGGTTTTCGTTTATCTTGGGTCATTTTTGCCCATTGGGACTCGTGTAGAAAGCGCGGCGACCAAAATCGTTCAAAAGATAAAAGGCGGGCCAGAAAACCTCCCGCCTTACTCGGACATATCTCTATTACTATTACTTAGATCTTCCCGGTCATTTTGGCCTCACTATTTTCTTGTCCATTTCGACCTCCGAAAGTCCGAAAGCTATTTCAATCCCGAGCTTCTCTTTTCGCTTCTTCCCGCATCTCTGTGAATCAGAAGGGGCTTTTATTCATACTTGCCAGATTAGTTCACCAAGACATTGATTCTTTTCTTACTGCGGTAAGTTCTCCTTTTTCTCTGTTGCAGTTAATTTGGGGTATCAGAATGAACAAATCTCGGTTGCCCTTTTCATTTTTTTTTCTTTGTTACGTATTGACTATTGATTGAGGTTTAATTGAAGTTTAGTTCCAATCTTTACTTTTATCTGGATCTATTTTCATGAAGTATTTCAATTTTATGACTTGTTTGTCGATTGTTTGAAAGTTACCTGAACTGAAGCTTAAGTTGTTGTTTAGTGTTTTTAGGTTTTATATCCTCTTTAATTGGAATTGATTGCGTAGATATCTATGATTGTGCATTTCTTTTCTTTTTTTTTCAGGATATTTATGCAATGGGATTATAAACAATTAGGAAAACCGGTATTTTTTCGGTGTTTGAAATAGGGTTTTAGTTTGGTGATGGACGGGGATAAAGTTTCCGGAGAGTACAAAAAGAATAGGGTTGTTCTTGGAGATGTCACTAATCAATTAGGTAAAAGGCCGTTTTCCTCAATTTCTAAAAATGTAGGTGTACAATCTGAAGAGAAGAATGGGGAAAATTTCAATAAGAAAGAATTGGAGAATGTTGGAACCAAAGTTGTTCATGCGGATGATGCGGACCGTAGTAAAAGAGTTTGCTTGGTGCCTCCACCGGGTAACGACAGTAGCTCTGCCAAGGAAAATGCTGTGCTGGGAGTACCTAGTATTCCCGATGAAAATAAAGAACCCCAATTGTTGGCTTCTGGTCCAGGTAGTTCCATGAAGGAAAAAGCTGTATTGGGAGTTCCTAGTATATCCAATGAAATTAAAGACTCCAAGTTGGATTCTGGTTTATGTAGTTCTGATATCCGTGCTATTGTTCAAGAGGTAGATGACTCAAGAAGTAGTTGCGAAGATGCTATCTCTATGCCCACATGTAAATCTGATGATGATTGTGTTGAAGTAATTTGTGATAGTGAAAGGGGTAGAGTTGGTTCCCATAGTGATGGCACACATGTTTCGGAGAATGAATCTGATGATCATGGTGTTGACAACTTTGTTTCAAGTCAAACTGGCTCTGTAGATGGTGCTAGATTTCCAGACTCTCAGGAATCCAAGACCTTTGGAGTGGAGAGATGCAGTGGACCAAAGGCTGATGGTTGCTCTAATTTGGCAACAAATATTGATTTGATCAGATCTTGCGCATGTTCTTTTTGCACTAAAGGTATTCCTGAAACACGGCTAAGCCACTAGTGCCATTAAAACTTCACTGTTACTAACAAGAATCTGGTAGTCAATTTCTTGTACTATATTATTATTGAAAATTGCTAATTTTCATTTGTTTTTGTGTTGAATCAGCTGGCTATGTATGGTTAGACCTCCACTACCAGGATATGAAGGGTCGATTGGGAGGTGAGTAGATTAAATATATCTGCACTAGCTATATTATGTGCAATTGTTCCCCATTTGATCTAGCTTTTTTTCCTTTTTGTCTATAACATGATGTTAAACTCCCAAAGCATTAAAGAAAATTCAAAAAGATGCAAGCAGTTTGGTTGAACGGAGTTTCAGGGCCAAGGGAACTGATATACATGCTCCAGGAAGCTCCCACCCATCAACGAATTTAGAAAATGATCTGATGGTTCAGTGGAGGTCCCTCTTTCTACGCATGGGGGGGATATTTGAACGTGAAGGAAACCAGCTTGTGAGTAGTATTTCTTTCTTCAGTTAACGGTTTTAATGATTTCTCTAAAGATATTAATTTGAAGTTGTTTCTGTCTGTTCTTAAATCTAATTATGCATACACATGAAAAGGTATAACATTGGGTATTACTATCATCTTTCACCACTGCCTTACTTTTGGCATCTGTGATGGAATCTGCATTACTTTGATTCTGACTTATATAGCCTGATAAGTCAATTTAATATACCTGATGAATGCGCCATTGGCTGGCATTATGTTGACTCTTTTTAAAGTTTTTAAACTGGGGAAAGGCCACTCTGTGTCTTGCTATCGGGCTTGTTGAGTAGCAACTTGGCAATCTTCTGTTGCCTTGGCCTAGCAACTCTGCATTTATGAAGCTCAGACCATCGGCCTGGTGACGGAATTCATTCAATTAGTGCACTTGATCATCATGACATGTTGATTATTTGAGAATTTTTGTGGTGATTCTACCTTAGAGTAATGTTGAAATACGTAGAAAATAAAAAAGCTAACCCAGTTCAAGACCAACTGATGCAAATAGACAAATACCAACATGTACTCAAACACTAATGTTACTTAACTTTATCATTAACATATTGCTTGCTGCCACTGATTTGGGTGTTCATATGATAGATCATCTTCATTTCTTTCCAGAATATCTATAGAGAATGCTAGGAAATCCAAGTTATGGGTCTGCCACTGTTTAGTTTTTCTCATGCTCTACATCATTGGTGTTGCATTTCATTTACATTTGTTTTAGGGTAATTGGCATTTTCCTTTTTGCTGCAGGCATCCAATTTGCATTCACTAAAAGATTTGAGAGATAGATGCAAGGCAGAACTTGAAGTGATTAATCAGAAAGCTCCAGAGAACCAGTAGAATAATATTCAAGCTTCTCTTGTTTGCAAGGCTCACCACTCTTTGAAAGTGTATGGTGCTTTGTCTTCATCCTTTTCCGTTGATGGCCTTTAGCTCGTTAATGATTATGTTGTTTGCAGCTCTAGTTATTCCAGTGTATGTAACATTTTCTATTCCTACTGTATCTTAGCTCCATATATTCTGAAATCTACACGATAGCTCTCTGTTGCATAGGAGCATGTTCACCTCTTTTAAGATAATTGATATGGTTGAGCTTCTGTTGTACCTATCAGTAGAAAGTTTGAAGGAATGTGTTAGAAATAGAACTACAGTATCTTTGGTGGAAAAAAGATGTTTAACCTGAGTTAGTGGAGTATGCAATAGTGACATTGATGAATACATTTGAATGTGGGATTGATCAAGCTTGTCCTTTCTAGCAGAATACATGGAATAAGTATTAAATAGCTCCATTTGCTGCTGCCTGTAATTTTCCACAGCTTGCAAACCATCAGTGACCAATCTACCGGGTAAGATAATTTAGTAACACAAACTAGAATCACACCCCTAGCCTCCAGGCTGTGACTGGCAGTTTTTATTAATAGTCATTGATAGTTTTTACACCTAAATCAAGTACTCCCTCCGTCCCATAATTATTGTCCACTTTGCTCAAAAAATTTTGTCCTAAAATTATTGTCCAATTTGACTTTTTAGGGATCAAGTTACACATTTGTCTTTAGTAAAAAATATTATCCATAAAATCTTAGTGGTTAAACAATTACTTATGTTGGGGTATATCCGGTTGTTTAAGGTAAAATATAGTTAAGTTTGACCAAAAATAAAATCTTTCATTTTAGTAAAATTGGATAATAATTATGGGACGGAGGGAGTACCGTTTAATTCGTTGGTAATATTTTCTGATGGTAAGATAACTTGCGGAAAGAATTCAAAGCAACAGGACAGACTGCTCCGGCACATTGGGCGCATGGTGCTTCACTGCCATTGCTAAATCTTTGGTGTCGCGCACCAAAGATTTCCATTGATTCTCAGTGTTGCTGAGTTGCAGATAACAGAGCTTCAGCCTGAGTTTTCAAAGTAATTTAGTTGCGGACGAAATCCATTTTTTGAATAAAGTTCTTGACAAAAAACAATTGTTGATATGGCCTAGCTAGCTATACCTAGTTACTCTCTGCCAAAAGGACGATAATAAACTCCTTGGCTGGCAACAGCCCCAAAAGTCCTTAACCTTAATTTCGATGACCTCTCAGTCTTCTTCGTCTTCGTCTTCGTCTTTTGCCCTTTTGTACATCAAGTGGGACCGCGGAGAGGATGACTTCGAGGTACATGTAATCTTGGTGGCTAGAATGTGAACGCGCAACATCTTGCTCCTCTGTTCCCAGCTTCAATAATTCTCTGGCTGATTTTTTGCCATTGGCAAAATAATGTGTTGATAAGAGTGAAATCAAGCATTTGTTAACTAAAACCGAATTGGATTTCTTTTCCTACAAATTGCAAGCTCCAGATTTGAAAAGGGAAAAACCGGATGAAAAGAAGCAAGAGAGCATTAATAGTATAGTTCACAACAAAATATACTAAAACAATAGCCAGCAACTAAGAGAGAATGGAAGTCAGTCCAAAATACGTTTTCTCTAAAGCATTGCCAAGACGCGAGGCATTTCAATCGAAGTACTACAATGTAAAGTACTTGAGCTTCGTCGCTGACAACACCCAACAAATTCATGGATACCTGAAGTGTTTTGGAGAGAAAGTTGAATTATCCGGTGAACGTACGGGGAACATACACATGCGGTGACGATCATAGGGACGATCACACGTTGGAGGCTGTAGCTTCGTCGTTGGATTTTTACTCTTTTTTTTTTTTTATATAATAATATGCATGCGTACTAAATAAATTGTAGTCTTACAGATCTATGTCACCATGATTGTTTGTTTGATTTGGACAAGTCTTAAGAATTATTGTGTACCATTCTTTCTTTCCTTTTCTTTTCTTTTCTTTTTTTTTTTTTTTTGGTTTTCTCTCTCTCTCTCTCTCTCTCTCTCTTTTAGTTTTTTTCCCTCTTTGATAAAGATACGGAGCTCTTGGCTCCATAGAAAAATTGTTTTTTTTTATAATAATAATACTTTTAAAAACTTTATATATGCATTGTTATAAATTTTAATATTTGGAATCAAGAAATAAAAGTATTATAATATGCATTGTTATAAATTTTAATATTTGGAATCAAGAAATAAAAGAATTATAATACTTAACGAGTAGAAAAGTTCTACATATATTATACTCCCTCTGGTCCTTATTATAAGACATTTTGACTTTTCATAGATTTCACCTAATACATATTTTTTATCGACGAAAAACTCTTAAAAATATATTTTCACATTCGTTGTGTTCTCTTAATTATTGTGATATATATTTAAAGTTTTTCCGTCAATTAAAAATGTGTACTAAATTAAACTTTGGACAAATAAAAAATATCTTATATTAAGGAAGGGAGTATCTCACCATATATAGTAACAATATCATAGAAAAACTTGTTCACCCGGCCCCAACTAGAGCACAAATTAACAATCGTTTTATTTTTAAAATACTTTGGCATCCTTTTACCCTTAGTAAGACTCGTGGATTCTTTTCCCCTATTGCGGCTCATGGATATTTAGAGTCAAGAAGCAGAAGATGAATCTTGAAGAAGCAGAAAAATCATGAAATGATAAAACATAAATAACAAATTTGTCCTTAGACCCAACTCACATGCAATCTATGTGAAAAATGTCTTATTGTTATGTCCTAACGGCAAAAATTAATAGGATAAGTTTGGATGAATTTTATTATTATTATTATAAGCATTTGTAATGAAAATAAATTACCGTGGATACTTGAGGTGCAACACCCCTGTAGTATAGTAACCTCAAAAAATGTTTCATAATTTTTGAATTTTATTTCAGTTAACAAAAATAGATTAATCACAAAATCTCCCATGCTAAAATACTAAAGAGCACTCGGGTAGAAGAAAAAATGCAGTTATTTTTTTTGATATATTATACATTCGTGTTTGAAATCCCGGTCTCAACCAATCTGAATCATAGTGAATAAATGTTTCCTCTCAATTACTCCTTCATGTTCTTATTATAAGAAATTTTGATTTACACTATATTTTATTTATTGTGTTCTTTTAATTTAAAATGAAACCTTAAAATTGTATTTTTACATTTATTTTTCAATTGAAAAAAAACACGAGAAATGAGACTCTGCCAAATTTAGATGAAAAAACTTAATTCAGACAAACGGCTCACCAATTTCAAGGGGACAATTTCATAAATTCAACAAAAGCAATCCAAATTCTAAAGTGACCAAGCTAAGGAACTTATCCAAATAATAATGCCATTGAATATTCTTGTGATCAATAAACTAAGTCATCAGATGTAGTTTAAGTCAATGTGGAGTAACATTCTTATTTGTTACGTATCTGGAAATGGACAAGCTTTCAAAAATTCCTTTTTTTAAACTTCCAGTAATGTGTTAATAAATTATTTTCCCTTCAAAAAAAGGCTAGGGAACTAAACCCAAATTATGTGTTAAAATGTTTCAAGTGAACTGTTGTTCGTTGTGGGATCAAATCCCATGCAGGTGGGTGAGTTTATGGGTAACGGGAAAAATTCAAAAGACAAAAATTCATTACTATTTGCTACTCTCCATCCATCAAAATTTCTACATTAAATTCATCAACGTAAAATAAGTTTACCAGCCCCGTGTGGAAACATGTTCTGCGCATTCACACTTTTTGATCGTTGGATGCATATTAATTTCGTTAGAAAAATCACAATTGGTGCTATTTCATTGCTAGAACATAACACAATTAGTATCTCGTATCCAAAAAATATATTAATAGCTTAACATAGGCTCACATCTCCTTTTATTGTATAAAAAGAAAGACAAATCACAAATGATCTACCTAATTAATATGATGACAACAAAAACAATAATGACGATTTTACTCATACGATAATTAGAAGAAGACATTATTTATTTGCCATTGTTGATACTTGATAGCACATATTGAATCAGTTTGATAGTATTGATTAGATTGGATCCTCTTCAATTTCTTCCATAGGTTGAGAGATGGGATAAAACAAAGTGTTAGCTGAAAGGTAATGGCATAGATTTTCCATGAACAAGAATATTATTCCCATCAGAGTTAAAAAAAATAAAATAAAATCCAAAACTTACAAAGGAGGTTCAGTTTATCGGTGGAGTAGGCATAAATAAGCTATATTTTAATGACTACCGTCCTCTTCTCCTCTCTCTCAGCCGCCCCCCTCCCTCTCCGAAACCCTAAAAAGAAAAAATTCTTCTTCCCCCATTTTCTCACCATGGAAAGATGGGGAAATAATTTTTATTCAATCTTATTTTTAATTTTTCTTTTTAATAAGTAGGATTATTTCCAAATTTTAGTCAGCCAGCAGATCTTAATCTGTTGATTGTTGAGTCTCTCAGTAGATCTTAGTCTACTGATATTAGAAATTATTCAGGGTCTTTCCGGCGATCGATCCTTATTGGGTTGTTGATCGTAGTTCTTGCTCGAGGTTCAGCTACCGTAGATCTATTCATTAGATCTATGAAATTGAGTTTTCAACAGAAGACAAGTGATATATTCGAGATTATGTTTTGGTACGTGGCATATCTAACTGATAATGAAGAATTCAACCAAATAGATCTAGATCTATAGGTTGAACTATAGTGAATACACCAGTTTTGAATTGAATATTATGCATATGGGCACTTGTAATAGTTCAGTGGCTGTACTCTTTTTGTTTCAATCATTGCTGGATGATTTCCAGTAAAGTTAATACAAAGTCTTGTTTCAAAAAAAAAAAAAAAACAGTTATATTTTAATTTTCAGCTATCAGAATTTCAAAATATATACTTTACTTTAGTGATTAAATAGACTATTACTCATTATAGATTTCTTAATGGGTATTTATGTTACTTGTCATTATCTCATACCCCTCTATCCTGAAATGATTATACAGTTTGAATTTAATTTTTAGTATAATTTTTATTAAAAATAAATCATCATCATTATTATTATTATTATTTTACAAAGAAAAGGCTTTTTTTTTTTTGAAAACAAAGAAAAGGCTCAAAGGCCTAGTATCAACTTAGCACATTACGAGAGTTTGATACTCTGACTACATCATGTTCCATTCACGGTTTAACCCCACTCGGTGGTGTCTCTGGCCATTGTATTATACCTGAGTCTTGTGATGCTAGAAATGCCGTTGTTACAAAATTAGTTTCGTAAAACACATATTTGACTTCGTTGACGCTTTCTCTTATCAAACTTTCTCGAATCCCACACACTATCCCTGGATTGAGACCACTCACATCCATTCCACTTAGTACCATGGTAATAATGCTTGTATTGTCTACTTCTGCAACTACCTTCTCGAGAGAGTAATTATTAACTGAACCAAATTGGACCTAAGCAATGAGAACGCGGAGAATGAATTTGATGATCATGTTGTTGACAACTTTGTTTCGAGTAAACTGCCGGGTCGTCTTCTTTTTCTCCATTTTTCTTCTTCTAGGTACGTGTAATTAATCTTTGGCAGCAAACGTGCGTGCGTTCACATTTAGGCAGGTAATTAAACTGTCATTGTAATGTCTAGGTCGGCAAGCTAAATGTACCTTGTGGTCTCCATCAAGTCATTGTTTTATAATTGCAAGACAATCATGATTAGTGGTTACAAAAACCAAAATAAATAGTTATTTTAAGACTGAAGAAGTATATAGCCAGATTGTTAATTATAGTATAAACATTTCCCATGAACAAGAGTCTTCCCATTAGAGGAAATAGGGTTTATACCGTTTTAATCAAATTATCGAAATTTTGACCATAGTGGTTAATTAAGCTTGCTCTTACGATTAATGGGTAATGTCTAACACTTTTATTTCTAATACTTGCCGCGGCACCCGCCTAGTATAGAATCTGATTTTCTTAAAGCCTAGTGTAGATTAATGAACTTTGATCCAGAAAACAAATTCTAAATATTATTCAGCCTGGATGTAAAGGGAAAAAAAAGAAAAGGGAAAAAGAGAGACAAAGACATTGTTAGACCAAAACCTTATCTCTTTTTTTCGTGATCCACATGTAGAATAATATCCTACCAAAACAAACCTTGGAAGTTGGCTGTGTAGGTCCTTTCAAACATTTAACCCAAACAAAACAAAGGTTCATTTTCGTTATTTGTAAGATTTTTTATAATGCACACTGGACCTAAGTAGTTTCCCTATAAATTGCAAGCTGATTTGAAGTGGAAAACAAGAGGAAAAGAAGCAAGAGAGCATCCATATTAGTACTTGCTAAACCTTTCAAAAGATTAAAAAACAAAAAAAAAGAAGAAGCTACCTATAGAGAGAGAATGGAAGCATTACCGAGACGAGTTGCATTTCAGTCGAAATACAATTCAAAGTACTTGAGCTTCATCCCTGACAACATCGAAGAGATTGAAGGATTCTTGCGGTTCTCCGGAGACAAAGTTGTGTCGCCATTCACAAAGTTCGAAGTGGAGCGTGCACACAACACGAGGGGATCGCTGGTGCACATAAGATGCGTGTACAACAACAAATACTGGCGCAAGGAGAACCCAAATGTTTCGTGGATTATGGCCTCGGCCGATGAGCCGAACGAGAACCGTTGGGATGGGTTATGCACCTTGTTCGAGCCGGTCTACGTGAACGGGAAAGATCCTACGGAAGGAGTTCGGTTTCGACATGTCCAAAGCATGAACTATGTGTGTTTGTGGCTTGCCGGAGAACCCCATACTTCCTGTTTGTTTGCGGGTTCCGCTGATCCTAACAGTGAATTGCGCGATGTTTTCACGGTCACTGATTGGGAAAACTTGGTTATATTGCCCAGGAATGTTACCTTCAAAGGCGATAACGGTTTATACCTTGAAGTAATTTATGAATCTGGAAACATACATCAGAAGTTCTCAGCGAACGACCCCGCAGCTTTAGGTGGGAGGTATGAGGTATTCACTGCCAACAATGGCACCGTCCTCATCAAGTCTCTTCGTCAACGAACGTTTTGGATACGCAGCACTTACGTATTTGCAGATGGAAGAGTAGATTTTGAGGTTAACCATTCATCTTCCATAGATAACACCAAGATTAGCAATGACTTGTTGTTTCTGCCCATCAAAGTTGGAGACAATAAGGTGGCTCTCCGCAGCATAAATAACTATCTCTTTTGCAACCGCATAGCCGACGACGAAAATCGTTTGAGCAAAGCGGCGCTCATAATTTCGAGGGATGCTATTTTTGAAGTGTCGGAAGCTATTGTTTGGAGGGAAATTTACAATGTTGATTATCACCTTCAGCACTCGAGGATCAATAAGCAGGATCCCGTCACAATTAAAACCGTGTATGTCGAGAATACTTCCTCGGAACCCAAAACTCAGGTGTTGAAATTCAGCGCCATGGGGACAACGACGACCACCACTACTTGGAGGAACAGTGTTTCCTTAAGGTTGGGAGTTAAGGCGAAATTCAAAGCGGAAATCCCTGAAATTGTGGATGGAGATATTATCATATCAGATGAGTTTAAGGGAACATACACCTGGGGCGAAGATAATGTGACGATCCCGACACTAGAGAATACATGTACGGTTCCGGTGCCGGCAAGGTCTAGGGTTAAGGTGAGCATGTTGAAAACTAAGGTATCATGTGAAATTCCGTTCTCGTACACCCAGCATGATATGCTTATTGATGGAAAATACGTTACCTACGAAATGGACGATGGTGTTTACACTTACGTCAATTCCTCCAACAACTTTAGGATCGATGAAGCAGAACCACTAGTGTGAGTGTTGACTGTGTTGCCGTTGACAATATGATTGATTGCTCTAGTACATGAAACTAGCTCTGTCCCCTTCTTATTAATGATGCATTAAAGAGGTTGTTGATTGAACTGTGTGCATGTGATGTGGACTCATATGTTTATAATATGAGTGTTACATAAATTATTCGGTTCTAACAACCATGTAGAGAGGTAATTTTATTCTGGCATTTTAATAAAATTGGGGGCATATATGCATATGCATGCAACTCATCTATCGTTCCGATTCCGTTAAAAAGTTGTATTTATTTTGGGCTACAATTAAATAACTTGTGTATCTTAATAGTCTATTTGTTCAACTGGAACATTTGGCTTCCACTACGATTAACGCTGGGTAGCCAAATATAGTTTACTCATTTTACAAGTTCATTTTGTACTTTGTTAATTTGATTGGGTGTTACTCTTTCGGTCTTTATTATAACACATTTTAATTTATCCTTAATTTCATCTCATATGTTCTTTTAATTGAAAATAAAAATTTTAAAAATATTTTTTTTGAATATATACAAGAGCACAATAATGTAAAAATATATTTTTAAAGTTTTATCTAATTAAAAGAACATGCTAGGTAAAATTTAGAACAAATCAAAATGGCTTATAATAAGAACCGGTAGGTAGGAGTATTATTTCTTTGGTGTTCCTTGCTGGAACAATTAGTCGTCGTGTTGAATAAACATAAAAAGAAAATAAATAGTCCGAACCTGACTTGAGAGACTTGAAATGGCTGAACTTAACCCCTTTTCGTGTACAATTAAACTCTTGATTAAATTACATAGAATAAAAACAATCTGATTCGATGCATGACACGATAAGAGAAAAAGAACGACTGAGAAAGGCTGTGGAAAGAAAGGATAGCATATATTGCGAAAAATTGGACAATTGGAAAATAGGAAAACTTAATGAACTTGTCGAAGAAAACTTGGGATTAAACAAAGAATCATCTCTGTCATAGTAGAAAAAAGACCAAAAGAAATTGGGTCAATCAAGCAAGTATCTACTCCTCTTTTTGATGGGAGTTGAATCCACTAAAATAAATTATTTAAAACTGTAAATACTGGTAAGCAGATCAACTCCTTAAAGGCAGACGAATATTTAAAATCTGTTTTAGTACAAGAATATAAAACTTAGGTAGATAGTGACTTTCATAAGTGGTGATTACGAGTGTTGTTAAAGTCGGGCCGATTGAACCGGTTTAATCAGAAAATGGACTTCAGACCGAGTCAAGTAGGTAACAATATTACAAGTTTAAGACTCGGCCAAAATCGGTCAAGATTCTGATCAAATTGGGAATCGGTCAAACTCAGGCGGAACCGAGTTTTGACTTTTGGCATACGTTTTAAACTTTTTAAAAAATTTTGGAACTACTTTTAAGTGTATTCAGTTTGATTTTTTAACTTTTAACCCTCAATTAGATTTTTTATGTTATTAATGACTCATAAGTTTTATCTTTATGTCATATAAGCCCATAATTTTAAATATTTAAGTTTAAAATTTTAATTTACTTATTCATCTCACGTCGCAAATGTCAAATTGAGCAATAGCCATTATTTTGAACTAAAGTAAAATATTATAAACTAAATGAATCGAGCATTATTCATCACTTCAAACTAAAGTAAAAAAAACTATAATCAAATGCATTGATTGAAACATTTAATGTAATTTTCTTTATGATAAATGTCAATTATGTAGCAAATGAGGTGTTGGTTCAGTGGTAAAATCACTGTTGTTCTCCAGAGGAGGTCATGATTTCAATCCCCCACTTCAATAAGAGTGACGGTGTGGCTCTAACCTTGCCCATTGGTACCTCTAGAGGGCTTACTATGGCAAACCCACTCAAGAACTCTCGATTTTGCATCCAATCTTGTCACCCCGGACTTGCCTAGGGTGATTTACCTCCCACTATAGTTTGCAGGCTATTGCAGTGGACGTGGGTTTACCCATATCTGGTGGGGTTCCTAGTGTCACCTAAAAAGATGTCAATTATGCAGCAAGTTTTTTAATTTTTTTAATTTTTATAAAAGTTAATTTAAACTAATAGTATAACTAATGTCATAATTTTACTCCATCAAAACCCATTTGAAAGTTATGAAGCACTAATTTGACTTTAACAATTTACAAACGTATGTAGAATCTATAAAATTTTATTAAAAATATAATTATTGTTTACATTATTATGACATCATTCGAGTTGACCCCTCGAGTTGCCCCGAATCAACTACCGAGTCGCTCGACCCCTAGCCATTGCCGAGTTAAGCTCCGGTCCTAGCCTGACAGCACTGGTGATTACGACTTGACAAAGTGACGAGAACTTAGGATCATCCCCCACTCTCGCTTATATAGTTATGTCTTAATTTACAGCATTCTTTGTGGTATGAACATGTATTTGATCATACACTACTTTACCTTGAAGTCACTTCCAATTTTTCCAGAAGACATCTTAGCAAGATTAAAGACACTGTGTACCGATGAAAATTCAATTTAGTAAGTCATTATGTTTTTAGGCCTTATTAATCACCGATGCCAATTAGATATCTTACGATCCTAATTGAAACCTTGGATTGTTTATCTCCTCGTTCATGGACTAGAAACCTAGGATTGTTTACCTCCTCACTCATTGATTAATACTAGACGTTTTAACTCATATTTACCGTTATAAAATTTACACAACATGCAAGTACAAATGACTAGTTGATCAGGCTAATCAAGAGGTTAATTCAAACTCTAGTATTATGTACACAAAATCATCTAAGTGCAAATCAAAACATAACCACATAAATTCAAGAGATCAAATCCTAGTAAAGAGTTTAGCTACACATGTTTGTAAGTTTAATTACAAAAGCTATGAAGTGCAAACCATTTAATAAGATTACGACTTGAAAGGAAAAGAAAAGAGTTAAAGGAAACTCGGGGAATTTTGGTTCTACTTAGATGGCTTTAGCAAGTCAACTTCTCCACTTCAATAGCTCCTGTGCCTTTGTTCTACATCTTTGTTTTTCACCTTTTTGTTTGTGTCTAAATGCTAACTCCCTTTCTCTAATATGATCTTTTTTCTTATATAGGATTCCCAACAGTAACATCCTTCCGTATGATTTGATCCTTTTTTCCAAGGAGTCAAGAGTAACTTTTTGGCTTAGTCTTAATCACGTTATAGACCCATACTTTGTTGTCCTCTTTTGTCTCTTGATTACCTTTTTTGGATCACTTTTTCCTCACCAAATCAAGCCTCAAAATCAGTTCCTCCTCATGATTGATTTCCCGTAATTTGCCATCCCATCAACCACACTTTTCCTTAACATCCAAACTTCCAATTATCTCTTCTTTCTTTACAATTCGGTTCAATCTCCATTCTTCAAAATTTTACTCGATTGTTCACCAATTTTCCCACTTTTTACTCCTTTTGCAATACCTTTTCAAAAAAAACTCATTTTGCAATTAAATCCCTTGATCACCCAAAAACATAAAGGCTCTGTTTGGTTGCCTAGAATTGGAGCTTCCAATTTCAATTCATGTGTTTGGATGATATATAAAAATACAGTAAAACCTCCTTAAATTAATTCTCTATAAATTAATAACCTCTATTAATTAATATTTTTCTCCGGTCCCAACTCGGGACCTGTACAAAAAATTAATAAACTCGATAAATTTATAAAATAATAAATTTTCAAAAATCTCCTATGTAAATATAGGTCCCCCACAATTTTATAAATTAATAAATATCTAAAATAATAAATTATTTTTAAATATTAACTAAAATTTTGACTTAATTATTTATTTTTATGTTTGTAATTATCATATTTTTGTTCCATTAAAAAATTTATAGTGTTATGGTTAAGTCTGCAAGGGACTTTTCTTGATGTAAAACTCAAAAAACTATTGCATTTTCCTACTTACAAGATTGAAAAAACTCTTTAAATTAAAATAAATTAATAATTTATCGATAAATTAATAACTCTATAAATTGATAAATTTTTGGAAGCCCAAGTGTATTAATTTATGGAGTGTTTACTGTATAGGTATAGAAATTGAAATTACAATTATATTTGGGTTTAATTCCATATTTTCAATTCTTTTATAAGAGCAAATAATTGCAATTCAAATTACAGGACTCTTTTAAAAAATCACGTGCCATTACCGGGTCAAAACCGGATTATAAAGAAAACTGGTCAAATATCAAACACGTCAAAAGGAGTTTCCCAGGATTTCCCCTCACGCGCAATTGCTCTTTTGTTTTTGATTTTTTTCCCCGCCCAAACTTTTTTTTTTTTTAATGTTTTCTTCTTTCATTTTTCTCGTATTATTTTTAAAAACGTAAAGAAATGGCCTCAATATGGACTTTATTTGTTGATGTCTGGATTAATATAATTATTATCTTGCATATATTTACTTATGTGGACATCGTCGTGGGGAAAGACATGAGAGAGAGAATAGGGGAAAAATTAGCTGATTTATCCAAAACTTTACATGCGTTGTCAATTCTACTCTATTTTTTTGGTTACCTAATATTATCCTAAACTATCCAACTGTTAGCTGATTTTGTCCAATTTCTCAATTTCCGTTTAAATTTCCGTCTGAATCAATTATTTAAATTTGGAGAAGAAAAACAAGACGAAGGAGCACGGTTTTTTTTTTTTTTAATTCTTTGTTTAATGAAAGAAGACGGAGGAGGACCGGGTAGCGACATCGGTTTAACGTCTAATTTTTGAATGAGTTTTTTATTAGCTTCATCAAAACGACGTCGTTTTGATGTTCAAGTTTAATTTCGGTCGGCTGGTCAGAACGACGTCGTTTTAATTGTTCAAATTTCTTATTTGTGAGGGTGATTTGAAATTATTTTAGAGATATTGTGTTTATCTATTGACTATTTTAACCCCTATTAAAACCGCTGATGTCACCGTAAGTTTATGGACCAATAAAAATATTGAAATATAATTGGAACTCGTTCTTTTATAAGAATAGGGACTAGGTCTTTGCAGTCGCGCATTGCGCGACCAGTTTGTGCTTCAGTCTTTTTTTATTATAAAATGTAGCTTGCTTTTCATTTTTAACTTTGATATGTATTCTATTTGTTTCTTTATAGTTGATTAGATTATTTGCATTCACTTTTAGTTTAATTTGTGCTGAAACTAAAAACGCAAATTGGATAATAATTTTAGAATGGAGGGAGTATAAAATTATAATGGCTTTAGAGATTACATACATTAGTTTGTTTAGTTTGCTGCCTAATATTGTGACACTAAGAGTGCCTACGAATTGATTTTTTTCTTTATTATGATAAAATGTAGCTTATCTTTTATTTTGACTTTTGGAGAGCTTTTCTGCTCAATAAGTATGCATAGTGCAATTTAACGTATTGGTTCGTTATATTTACAGAAGAGTACTTAGAATCCAAGTATGCAAAATGTAATTTA